AATTCTTTTTGGTGTGAGAAAGTCCAGTCTAGAGAGAATCAGCCCATCAGAAAGAACTAGAACAGCCCTGCCAACTGGGCTGCAGACTGGGCCAGCCAGAGCCAGCTCTAGGTTGAAAATCAGAGGAGAAAAGGCAGCAGGTCCTTCTCCCCAGAGGGAGCAGCTTGGCACTCTCTGGGCTGCAGCCATGTGGAAGAAGAGACAGAGGGTCCCATGTACTCAGTGACTTTTAACATGCTCCCTACCACGGTGGACCATATAGTATCCTTGCTGGGACCGAGGGGAACAGCACCTTCCTCCTTGGGGTGGAAAGTGAGCAAAGCCCCAGCCATCCTTTTGAGACCCAGCACAGCCACCAGTCACCTACACCATGCCTGTCACTCCTGACTCACGCCTTTCTCTCACTCTCCACACCCCACTGAACGTCTCTCCACCCAGTTTAGGTTTAGGACTTGGTCTGTGCTCGCCTGCACTGCTGCACTGGTGGCCTCACTGGCCTCCCAGTGGTGTTACAGCTTCCATCCTATTCTGTCTTTTCCGGTTCTAGAATGATCTTTGATCTTATCATGTCTTTCAGTGGTTGCCACCACCTACATACATAGCCTGGAAGCCCATGATCTGTCCCGTCCCTCACTGCAGCCCCATCTCACAGGGCAGCCCCACCCTGGAGGATCTGCGTGCTCACGCTTGGGCCCTGCTCTGGCCAGCCTCAACCCTGAGGTCCTGGCTGAACTGAGATCTAGCCCATCCCAACTCCTAGTGTCCTGACTTTCTGCTCCCCTGTGCTTTTGTTTACTGTCTCTATCCTCCTTTCTCTATGTCCAAACTCCTAGTCATCCTTGGAGATTCAGCCCCACCCTCACCCCCTCTATAAAGCCGCTCCCCTTCCCTGGGATCGACTTACCTCTTTCTCTCCCTTACGTACTGAGTGTTCATCAGTCCTATGGCCAAAGCACTGTATTGTACTGATTTGTTTACACTTGGCTTTTCAAGTAGATGGGGAGCACCTCGGGGGAAGGGATCCTGTTTTATTCATATTTTAAATTTCTAGCTTGTAAAACAGAACTGGTACACATTCTCAGGTCCTCAAAATAAAAAGGGAGGAGGATTTCTATGAATGAATGTGCTTTTAAACTGTAAATTGATATACAAACTTAAGTTATTCTAGTTTCAGAGGCATCCCAATGTAATACATGAAATTTGGAAGACAAGTTTTTGGATAAACAGATGACTACTCTCTAGAAAAGGTGGAGGAATTGGAGAAACAGAAAAAGACACTTCCTCAAAAACAAAAACAAAAAGAGTCTTATCAAAGGGCTTGGCATTTCAAAGTGCTAACAACAGAAGCTAGACCAAAAAGAGTGAACCCTAAAACCACTAGGCAGAATTTTGAAATATGAGCAAGAGGATTTAGGAACAGAACCTTTTTCGTTTTGTTTCTACAATAGGCCTATCTGTGAGAAGAGTGAAAAGAAGAAAGGATATAAAGTATTGATGGATGTTATAATTGTAAACAACTATTTCTTTTTTGTTATGGTTTATCTTATGTTAAATAGGTTATAATTTAAAAATATTTTAAATGCGATATCTGTGGAAGAAGGGAGAATTCTTTCAGGGCATTTTATAGAAATAAGGTAAGCGACCAAGGGCACTGAATTTGCCTTCGTCTCAGTTCTTTTTCTAGAAAGAACCGTCTACAGTGTTCTTTCTACAGTAGCCCTGATGGGTGGTTATCTAGACCAGGGCCTCTCAAACTGTCTATGGTGAAGGACTAGTGTGTGTGTTTTCTTACGATCTGTCACAGACTGATTCTTTTGTAAAATATTGTAAAGAATTAAAAAAAAAAAATTACTAGGAAAACCAAACAGAAGAGAATAAGACATACAACATGCAAGTACAAATTTGCTATTAGATTCAGCAGATATTAAGTTATTCTGTCAAACTACTATAAAAGTTCCTACATGCTTACTTTCAATATCTGTTCTTATCTGGTGGTGGGTCAGTAGCAAATGGTTTGCAGACTGGCTCCTGTCCATATACTGCACTTTGCATGGCATCAAGTTAGACTCCACTTGGAGATACTCACTAATGGATATTACAAGGAATAAGTTAATGAGAGGAAGACATTCATGTACAAATCTCATAATGGTAGAAATCTTAAGGACATAAACTGATTAGAAAATAAATACTTTAGGGGAAATTTTAGATTGCAAAATACAAAATTATTTGAGTGGTGAAAAGCTCTATTTTGTGTCTCTGCTCCCTCCCTCCCCAAAGTAGAGTGAATTCTTTGATCTTCTTGGGGAATAATTGTTTTCAGTGGAAAAGTTTTAAATCGGTCCTTCATTGTCAACAGGAGGGTAGCCATAGGTGCTGACATCAAGCCAATAAAATTAATAAGCAGCGTGACAGGCTCTAATAAATTTCATTGGTATCCTTACCCTGTCATTTTGAGCCCCGAATGAACTGTTATTATCACTGAACTTCAAACCTCTCATTGTGGCTACAGATGATTGCAGCTGCTAATGCAGTGCATGTTACAGTAGTAGTTTTCAGTTAACTGGTTTAAGGTTAAAGTATCATATTTAAAAAGACTTATTTATGATCAGCTGGAAACAAGTTATGGCCATACGACTTTGATCTGTTTTCTAGAGTGGCCTGCAGAAATTTGGACTCCTAACAATCTATTTTCTCAACAATTTCTGAAAACAAGCAGATTTTAAAATCTAGTTTCTCTACCATAGACTCCGAGGGTTTTGAAACTCTTTCAGTTGGAGGTGGGCCATCATTTGTTGGAAGCAGGCCATGGTTCTTTGTCTCTAACCCCAGATGAAATTCTTTAAGCCCCTTAACTAAACCTTTCTCTCACATGAAGAATTTAGTGTCGGGTTTCTGCAAGGGAGCAAGCTTCGCACTTGAACTGAGAAAAAGGACTGTTCCTTCTCTCTTTAAGCCCCACTGCAGAGCCTCTGAGGCCGGCCAGGTGAATGTGGCAGGCATCCATCACCCCTGCCCCGCCTCTCTCTGCTGGGCTGGTGCGGATCATGCCCATCCAGATCCTTCTGTTTTACCTTCTTAATTTTGTATACTGTGTATCCTTTTAAAATGTCCGGCAAAGTCTTAAGCTACCATCAAATATAAGAATTCAACGCGAGTGACCATTAGTCCATCCTTGCGTACCATGTGTAATTTAACAGAAATACCGATGAATACATTTTTTTTTTTTTTTTTTTTTTTTTAGGAAGTGTATTACTTCAGTTCTGGCTATCTTTAGCTTTTCTTATTTCAGTGTTAGCTCTCTATCCTATGCAGGTACTTAAAAGATTAGGCCAAGATATTGTGGGATTTTTAATGCCAACTATGCTTAAACCTTGTAAATCTAATTTCTTATTGAGATGACCACTTTCTTAAGATGAAAGCTGTTACCACAAAGCTTGTTTAAAAAAAAAAAAAATACAATTTATGGGCTGGGTATGGTAGCTCATGCCTGTAATCCTAGCACTCTGGGAGGCCGAGACAAGAGGATCATTTGAGCTCAGGAGTTTGAGACCAGCCTGAGCAAAAGTGAGACCTCATCTCTACTAAAAATAGAAAAATTAGCCAGGTGTGGTGGCGCATGCCTGTATTCCCAGCTACTCAGGAGGCTAAGGAAGGAGGATCGCTTGAGCCCAGGAGTTGAAGGTTGCAGTGAGCTATGATAATGCCACAGCACTCTAGCTGGGTGAAAGAGCAATACTCTGTCTCAAAAAAAAAAAAAAAAAATTACACACATTGGTTCATACGTGACAATGATTTCAGTATGAAAGAACCAGAATGAAAACTTACTTGATGCAAACTGTGAAATGTGCTACTTGAGAAAGTAACTGAGGAAGCCCTGCCTATTTTTCACCGGGGGAACATAAAGAGCCTGAGAGTATGAAAGTGGGTTATTAAAATGTGTAAGAAACAATTATCTGATGGTTCTTAAATTTCAGCTTCTCTTTTCACTAGTTGCATCTACACACGATTTGTTTGCTATTGGACATTGGAATGCAGCTGTGGTGCTGGGATTTTCATGGTCTGGTTGACTTTTCACAGGGTTACTTCCTCCAAATGCTGCAGCTCGCCTTGTTACGTTTGGTAGGCAGCCATGCTGCATTGTTCAGCCCAGGGCAGGGGATGTATTTATTTTTTATTTTACGTTATTTCAGCTGTTTTCACTTTTTTCTTTATTGTCTTCTTGCCTCCTACAGAGTCCTTTTTCAAGCCGTGCTGGGGGAAGGGGGTACACTCAGTTATGAACTCTCTAGCACACAAGGGGCGGAAAGCTGCTGTCCCCTTTCTCAGCGGTTCAAATAGCTTCTTAGCCACGTCACTTTAACCCACTGTGGGTCTGAAACCATGTTAGGTATGTGTGGGAGCTGGTTCTGTGTTAAAATACATAAAATAATTTTGGGGTTTTTTGTGGCTCATTAACATAGCCTGTTGGCCTAAGTGAGTTATGTGCTTATTTTTTTAAAAACTTTTTAAAAAAATAAATCGGTATTTGAGGAAGAATTTGATTCTGTACTTTAACAACCCACAGTTTTCTGAGTTAAAGGTTATACTTAAAACGATTCTGTCACATTTGAGAATTTTTATTTCTGGTTTTCTTTTATATGAATTTTAGAGTATCTTTTTATCATGCAAATCACTCAAGGAAACAGCAGACGATGCTGTTATGCCAAAACTCTGACGTTATCAGGGCTGTGGTCCTTCTATTATCCATCTAGGGAAGCTCTAATATATTTGGGGAGTAGAAACATTAATGTATACCATATTCTTTCTCTTTACTAAAACTCCCTGTCTATAAATAGGTAAGTATTATATTCATTAATAAGAGAGCAACTCTGTACGCTCAGAGTTGATGAGCCCATTAATATAATTACTTGAAGCAGATATGAAAGATTCATTTTGCATAATTAAAGACGACTTGTAAAAGAACAGCAGTGTTTAAGGCATCCTTCTCATTGATTTCACAGGATTACCTTGACTGTATCAGGGACCAAACAAAACTTCCCCTGGGGACTGAAGAAAGATTAGCCCTTTTTGGAAACATACAGGATATCTACCACTTCAACAGGTAAGTGAATATTCAAAAGATTGGACCAGGTGCAGTGACTCATGCCTGTAATCCCAGCGCTTTGGGAGGCCAAGGTGGGAGGATCGCTTGAGGCCGGGAGTTTGAGACAAGCCTGGGCAACATAGCAAGACCTAATCTTTATAAAAAAAAATTAAAAATTATCTGGGCATGGTGGTGTGCACCTGTAGTCCCAGCTACTCGGGGGGCCGAGGTGAAAGATCACTTGAGCCTGCGAGTTTGAGGTTGCAGTGAGCTATGATCGAGCCACTGCACTCCAGGCTAGGTGACAGAGTGAGACCCTGTCTCTTAAAAGTTCAAAAGATTATTCTCACATAGAACATAATAAATTTTTCTCAAATGAATACAGACTAAGAAAACATTATCTGTTATCCCTGATCCAGCTTCATAAATTTTGTGGGCTATCATGCCGCGACGTTTTCTATCTAGAAGCATCCTTATTTTCTTATGAGTCTCACAATTATTCAATATTCTCTCCCTCTCCATCCTATTGGCTCAGAGAAAAGACCTATTTGTCCTGGCAGGGCAATGACATCTTTCTTCCACACCATGACAGGAACAGGACATCCAAAAATACATGCTTCCTGAGCCTCCAGCAGCCCCAGCTACACCAAATTTTCTATACGTTTTCCTCTGCCTAGGAAGTGGGCTGGACATGGTAACATACAACAAACACTTTGTAGTAACATATTAATGTTATTAATAATTTTAAAAAATAATTCAACCATTAAGTATCTACTGTAGCAGTGGCTCTAGGCTAGGAAATTACAATAGCAAACACGACAGGGAACTGAAAGGCACGGGAGCAAGTACATAAGTTATTATATGGATGCTTCTCGGAAGCCAAGTTAGTAGGCGGGTTAAGAGCACAGATGCTGGTGTCAGCATATATGGGTTTGCATCCCAGCTAAGCCTTGCATGTGCCTTGGGCGAGTCTCTAAAAGGAATGAAATAATTAACTCACGTCAAGTCTACTCAAATCCCACTTTCCCACTGAGGCTCCGCAGGTACCACATACACCCCTTTCCCCCTATTCTTTCTTTTCCTCGTGCCTCTTGTCTATTTCTGACATGCTCCGTGATTGACTTTTCTATTGTGTCTATTGTTCCTTTGTTCCCCACCTCACTCATGGAACACTGTGCATGGACAGAGAGCTGTTCTGTTACCGTTCCATGTGTGGCCAATAGGAGGCACTCACGCTTCTGTTGAATGAAAGAATGGAAATAATAGTAAAATCCCCTGCGTATAGTTATCGTGAAGTTTCAGCGAGCTGAGACACCTGAAGTGCCAGCTAAGCGCCAGCACAGGGTAGGCACCAAAATATTAACCAGTGGTGGTCTTAATTTTGTTAGCGCGAAATCCTGTCATAAAATTCTCCAATGCCCTGTCGTTTTGTGACTCAGCTGTAATGCAGTCTGAATCCTCCTCCTCTTGGCTTACTAAAGTTGGTCAGTGTGAGCTCCCTGAGGGCAGGATCCACGTCTCCTCTGCCACCTGGAATTCCTAAGACCCAGCGCAGCCCGGCCTCTGGGAGACGTGTTGAGTCGAATCAATTCATCTTTTCATTGTGACAGCCTAGGAGGTAGAAAACGCCAGTGTTACAACAGGATTTTTCTTTCGTTTCACTCAGTAGACTTTGAAAAACGGTTTGTGTATGCTGAATCAGTGTCTCTCCACCTGGGCTACACACTGGGATCACCTGGGAAGCTTTTTTAAAAAAAATGATGGCTAGAGCCTACCTCCAGAAATTCTGATCCTCGGGCGTTTGTCTTGTGCAGCCATGGTTGAGAAGCAGTCTAGGTAAAATCAACACCAAAATAAGAAAATGGAGAAAGCCATAAAAACTGGAGTAGAGAATCCGGATGTATTATACGTGTTCATTAGTAAAGTGTTGGTGTTAGAGCAGGCACCCATTTAGCAGCTGCTGATGACAAAATCCTGTGAGCCACTGCGTGGCTTCTTCCTTCCAGAGCCCTCTAATGGCCCTGCAACCCAGAAAGAGGCAAGAGGGCTGGATGCTGGGAGGCCCCTGGCCAGGTCTTCTGTGGTTTGGCTGAAAGTTGCTGGTGATTGTATTTATAGAGTGCTTACTCATGCCAGAGGCCATGGAGCTTTAGATGCATTAGCACTTCATAGGCATCATATGGGCCTCTCTGACTGCAAACCCCAGGCATGGAGCCATGCGCCCTCCTGCCAGAGTGGAGCCCTGCTTTTCAGGTTCATGAAGTTGCAGCTTACTCAGGAGGGGTTTTTTACTCCCTGGAGTTTAAATCTTTATGTGTCATCTTATTTAAACAAAGATTAGAAAGAGTTTGCAAGAGACCTTTGCAGTGCAGCCCAGTCTGCGGAAGATAGATGACTGAGAAGACCTTTGCATTCCTGAATCGATTCTCTATTCTTTTCTATTGCTGTTCATTGAACCTGAAAGTCAGACATGCTTAAAATAACCTGAATCAGAGTGAGTGAGTACCCTGATGATATGCGAGGCGCCGATATAATGACACAATTACAAGTGATTGTGTTCATGCCTGTCCCTTGTGTCGATCACAATTGTGTATTCCCTGTAAATGCATCATCTCGTTTAATCTTCTTAACAGCGCTGTGAAGTAGATACGATGCAATTATATATGTGTGTATTTTATAGACCAGGAATCAATCTTACAGAATCGAAAGTCCTTTGTGCAGGACATAGAGCTAGAAATCCAATCCAGTCCACTTTGAATACCTGGTTTTGTTAAATCTCTAATACCATCCAGTTTTCAAGACTATCTTCTTGTTTTACAGTTGAATTGTCTATACTGTTTTGTCCTTGTCCATTTTTATTTCCTTTCTCTTAAACCTAGAATCTAAATTTGGAGCTCAGATGTATTTGTTGTTGTGTTTGGCTAAGCAAGGGTGTTGATGTGACTTTCTATGTCAATGCTGCTTATGAATCCTTTATTACATACCTTACATCAATTGATTTCAAAGATACGGCTATCTGGCAAATCTATGGTTGGGGCTTGAAAACATAGTTTTTAAAGTTTCTATTAGTTCAGGACCAAGTTTTTCCACATAATATAATAATATTGTGGCCAACTAGGCAAGACTTAAATTACTAAAAGAGGGCAATAAGAAATGGTTTTATGCTGGCCTGAAAAATTCAGCTGACTAGATTTCTTTTTTTCAGGAAACATTTCCAAAATATAAAAAAGCATAGAATAACATGTTAAATACCCATGAACCACTTCCAACTCTGTCAAAAGCCTTTCTTTGTGCCATATTTGCTTTAGAAATTTTTTGAATCTTAAAAATATTATACATAACATTGAAGCCATTTGTAAACCCTTTCCCAATCACATTCTGCTCTGTGAGAATGACATACTGGTGTGCTGGTAAACCGGGTCTCTGGCACGGGGACAGGGGAGGGGGAATCTGGAATTGAGAGTGGCTGCCAGTTTCTGTGGTGTAAACACTCCCATCACAGCAGATTTCAAGGTTCTAAGACAACATTACTGAATTTGGGATTAAGAAGAGATTGCAGAATGGCTCTGGCTTAGTACACCACGATATTGCAACTGCTGTCTAAGACTTGGTGTTTCATTCCAAGCATGGTTTTGTTGCCATGACTGTGTATGTAAGTATTTACTTAAAACATGTAACATGCTTTCACTTATTTCAAACATGGCGTAAATGATGTCAGATTTCTTTCATTCAACATTGTTTTTGAGATTTATAGCTCTAGTTCGTGTAACTGCTATGCCATATCCATTGGGGAGCATCTCTTGGCCACTCAGATTTTTGCTGTGATTTTCTGACTCATATCCATTGCCTATTTTTCTGTCAGGATGTTTCTTTTTCTTACTGTTACATAGGAGTTCTTGATGAATTCTGGCTGGCGATCTTTGTGGATTATCTGAGTTGCAAACATGTCCTAGTATGAGACATATCTTTTAGTTTTAATTACTATCTCTTTGAGAAGAAGTTTGAGTTTGACTACACTAAATGCACTTTTTATAGTATATAGATCTCGTGTTTTAAAAATGTTCTCCTAATTTCAGATCATAAATACACTCTGTTTTTTTTCCAAAAGTCTTACAATGTTGCCTTTCACATTTGTCCTTTATCTACCTAACATTGATGGAGGTGTGATATACAGTAGGAGATCCAAATTCTTATTTTCATATGGCTAGCCAGTGGTCACACCACCACTGATTGAAAAGTTCATCCTCTCCATACTGATTTGTAGTTCCACGTTCCTCGCATGTCACATTTACATGGATGTGTGAGTCTGTTTCTTGTCTCTTTGTTCTCTTTCATTGGTTATTTATCCATCCTTCCCCTATACTACACTGTCTTGGTTTTCATAAGGTCATGTTGCTCTTCTTCAACACTGACTTAGCTTTTCTCGACTCTGCATTGTCAAATGACTTTTTTTTAATTGGTTAAGTTCCTTGAAGCACTCTGTTGGGATTTTTATTGTAATTGCAATAATTTTATAGATTAATTTCATTAGAATTGACATGTTTACAATACTGTCATCCATAACTATGTATCTCTTCAATAAAACCTTTTTAAATGTCCTTTAATAATGTTTTATAATTTCTCCATCACATTCATACATATAACTTTTAAAACTTTACTCCTAGATACCTTATAGCTTTTGATGTTATTTTGACTAGAACTTTTTTTTTTACTATTTTTTTAATTAGCTATTATTCTCATCTAGGAATGCTTTTGATTTTTTATGTTGTATCGCACTAAGCTTTCCCACTAGTTCTAATTAATAGTGGTGTATTCTCTTGGATTTCTATGTAGGCAATGATATTGTCTGTAAATGCGAATTTCTTTTTTATCTTTTTTTTACAGTTCTTCTACCCTTTATGTCTTTTTCTTGTCTTATTACTTTGGTTAAGTCTTCGTATGCAATATTGTTTTGATGTTGGCATCCTTATCTTCTTTCCAACATTAACGAGAATATTTTACCATTAAGTATGACATTT